TCTCTCTCTCTCTCTCTCTCTTTCTCTCGTTCTCTTTCTCCCACTCTCTCCCTCTCTAAGCTCTCACACCTATCCTCTGCAAAATCTTCTTTTTTTCTACTCCCTTCCATCCATTTTATTCAATTCACCGTCCTCTACAGAAATACATGACCCACCAAAGATATCGCAGCCCACAAGTCGAAAAACTACAAAGTGTACGACCTTTTGCGTCTTGACAGACCACCCTAAAGCAGTATGCTTGATACATCCTTGACTGGGCTGTGAGCGGTTATTGCCCGAGCACTACTTCCTTCCCTTTAGATTTTAGACCTTGACTTCATTAATACGCCCAATAAGAGACACACGTCTAATGCGTTTGGAATCAAGGAAGATGTACCAGTGTGTCTTATTATTATTTTTAAAAATAGATGTGATAACTTATGGAATCGAACCCTTACCATCCAGATCCAGACGAAGAGCCAGGGCGGGAAGAAGAAGCAGATGATGCAGTGGAGGGCGTGGTTTACATTTGCGCTGGAACAAAGCAAATGAGTACGTGTTACGTCTTGTCGTACATGGCATGGGTTCTACACCCCTTCTTGATGGGTGGTTGGCGGCTGCTGTGGTGCGGTTTGCTCCTTCTTTGCTGTCAAACGTCTATCGTCCTTATCTATTCTCCTTTTTGTATGTCAGCCTCTGGTAACACTCTATAATTATCTTTGGCACTTGAATGACCTGTTTGTGATGCAAGTGGCGCAAAACTTTCTCTAAAAATAAAACTCCTTTTTATACAATTCCCATTGAGTATCTCTGCATGTCTGCTTGGATAGGCCCCATTACATTCCACTCAGCCTTGATTAGCCTAGACAACAAATTCGATGGCGCCTGTCTCCTTAAATTAGATCTAAGTAGTAGCGATTTGTGTTGTTTTCACGGACGTCTCTTGTAACTTGTTTTTGACAACCTGGGCTAAGAAGGATTCAACATCCCAGCAGAGAGACTGGCAACTACTTGTTTTTTTATGTAAGTGTTTTACGGCGCTCGCAACTGCATGAGGTCATATTATGAGCGCGCGGGACACATTAAGCATTTTTAATTTGGTAGGAATTAATTTTGAATCTTAACCGAGTGGCGGCTGAAGCCTACTCTTATCGATTTTGAACCACCAAGGGATCTTTAACGTGCCCAGTTTGCACACGGGACCTCCGAGAATTTTCGCCTTTTTCCAAGAAAGCTGGGTATTAGATATTACCTACTATAAGATCAGGGGTGTGGCTGACAGACACAAGTAAGAAGGAGCCAAGGAGTAGCAGTAGAAAGGCTGCAGAAAGAGTTAAGAGCCCAGAAGAGGGAGTAAGGGAGGCGAGGGGATGGAAGCAGAAAGTGGAGACGAAAGCAGACGACAGAAAATTGTTAGAGAGCAGGAGAGGAGGTGAATGGAGAACATTTTAAGATGGGGGAGGGGGGGGGCACCAAACTTTTAAAAATTGGGCTGGATAATTGAGTGAATGTCGAGCGCCGGATACATCTCATACATTTTGTTGGATACATTACACTGAATACAGAAAAGCTATAAACAACCAACCCATTGAGTTATCGATGCAGACGATATAAAGTACACACCCAAATAGACAAAAACATAAAATATATTTACTAGAAATTCATAAAATGTCGTTTAACTTGCCCCATAGAGTTCATTGGAATGATTAGATTATCTTTTAAAAAAATAGACAACCAACTTACTGATTTATCGATCAACAAAATCCCCCCTGCCCCCACCCCCAACATAACTGTATGTATTAACCAGGCCGAAAAGTCATCAGATATCGTTTGAAGTGCCATGTAAAACTCACTGAAATGATCGGATTATGTTGACTAAGTTCTGAGCGCCAAGTTGTTGTTTTTTCCTCCTCGCGTGGTGGCATGGTACTGGGCCGAACAAACTGACCTCATGGGCCGAAGCCAAGGACCCCAGAATGTTTTTAAACCCCTTGAATGGAGCCGTTCTTTTGACACTCATACTCATACCATCAATATATAAGGCAACATAGATTGCTGACGTTAACAAGCTTTGTTCTATCTTTTGACATTCATATCATCGATATACATGTATAAGATGACACAGATTTCTGACGTTATCAGATCAGAGACAATCATTTAGTTAGTAGTATAAGGTTTTACGGCGCTCGCAACTGCTAAGGTCATATGAGCGCGCAGACAATCATTTGACACTCGCACTATTGATATATAAGATATAATATATTGCTGACATTTACGAACCACATGTATCTACTTCTTTCGCCAATGTCTACATTGTAAACTTGTGCAAACTTGGGTCAACAAAACGCTACCAAAAAATTACAAAGTTCTATCTGCACAGCACCAAGTTTCGAGAAATTTGACGATAAAAAATTGAGTTTCACAATATGGCAAGTGTTTTTCAAATGCAATTTTTTGAATATCTTAACAACAATTCAGAGTAATCGTTCGATTTTGAGAGAAGCAGATACGGCATTTGATCTCATGGTCTTAGTAACTCAAAACGGCAAAACATGTCAGATAGAACTTTGTAATTCTGAGGTAGCGAAATAACAATGCATGGTGCAGAGCAGTGGGACTTTCGGTGTCTGTTCAGTGCTACAGGCCACGCTGTCCAACCCTAACCATAACTCTAACCTTAACTCTAACCTAACTTTAACTCTAACCCTAACTCTAACGTTAACTTTAACGTTAACTCTAACCCTAACTCTAACCTTAACTCTAACCCTTACCTTTCTCTTACAATGACCGTGCTCTGCTGGGCTGGCTGTTGCATCACAACCACGTTACTTGCCTGCTGCCGAGATAGACAAGCGATGTTATGCGATATAGGAATATAATTTCATTATCTTATACACACACACACGCGCGCGCGCACACACACACACAC